ATTACAGGGTTCCTTATTGCTCTGGGACTGTCAACTATGAGTCAGTTGACCCATGCGGTACAAGATTTGAGATGGTGGATTTTGAGTAAGCGGCCGAGGTCCCGTCAAAAAGTAAGTTTTGAACGAGGTCTGGAAACAGGCAATTTACTAATAGGTGTACAAATAATTAGGTCAAAGCGATTTTGCATGTTCACAGCATGAGTCAAGTATTGGTCTTGGCATTTAAATCGAGTCGGTGGACAATTCATGTTGGAGTCGCAACCTGGGTAGCGCTATTTCTTGTGTGTTCCAATTACATCTAAATTCTCTCAAAACCTAACTAACCACCGACAAACACAATCAGGCAACTCAGATCGGATATGCCTCACTAGGTCTGTGCTACTCGGTCGAAAAAACCGAAGATCAGGCTCTTTTGATTCCTGGGAACGTCTCCATCGCGAATTTGAGCACCATCTCAACCTCGAGTGTTGTCAACGCATCCGGTTCAACCAAAAGCGAAGAATACGCGGCTAACAGCTACGGGATCATATCCCTGGCTTTAAACGAAGGGGATCCCGATGATATTCTTTCCCCTGGAACTTTATTCTTTGCAGACAACAAGTTTCTATTTTGTGACGGGTCCTGTGCCTATGTCTTTCGCGAGACGAATACGCTTTCTTTCGATAATCCGAAAAGCGCTCCTGTCTCAGCGGTTACAGACAGGAAGGTGAATATCACGGCGCATTGCGACGCGTTAAAGGTCCGTCAAGGGGGCAATGGAACCGGGGAGCTGATCACCGTCGACAAAGGGAGCAGAGAAACAAAGATCACATTACCTAGAAGGGAGGTTCCTGGTGAGAAGGTTTACATGACATCTGCCTCTCGCAACTGCGGCAGCGATTGCAGCATTGTTTTAGTGTTTGAACCATCGTCGACAGATCCGTGGCTTTACAACTGCACCGTCAAAATGAGCCCTGTTGAAAACGCCAAGAGGCCAGAGCATGAAGTCAGTGAGAGATTGATGCGCTTAGCAACATCGGCAATAGCCTTAGGAGGCCCCGACGGCCCAAACGATACCCGATCAAACAGCTACCCCGGTGCGTCGGTGTTTGGCATACCACTCAATGGCTCAACAGAACAAGTAGAATACCTTTTATCACGATTCGCAACGGGTATGCTGGCAGCTGTCATCGAATCAAACACAGACATTGTACTCGCCGGCCAAATGCCTACGATCGGACAGAAACTCAACGTTTCGCACTGGGGAATCATCACCTTGATCTTATGGATCACGGCATTTCTTCAATTATTGGTGGCTGTTGTGGCGAATAAGGTGTCGGAACGGGTTGTTGTGCCAGAAGGCGATTCCCTTTCTGAGGCTCGGGTCTTAAGAGGCATGGTTGAGGAAGACATGTTGGATGGGGAGATGGGAGACAGTGCAGGGGGGAAAGGAAAGCGGTTATGGATTTATAGAAATAGACATGTCGGTGACGGGTTGTACGATTTATATATGGAGGAGGTTAGAACGTAGTATGCTGATATCACATATCTCAAGTTAATGTTAGGGTAAGACTTGATTAACAACCCTTAATTGCGGCGAGTTGCAGTGATATTTGGCTATCGTCGTCTCCCCATCTATGTTTGCGCTCTGCGGAATGAGCTTCGAAACAAGCCCTGCCTGTCCTTGACTGAATCGCGGAGCAATTGTGTTTGATCCTTATATTCATTTGCTTACCACGACATAGTCGTTAGCATAACCCCTGGGTCGAAGCCAGACGAAAAGCGGTGAATATGAGAGACAGCATAAAGCAAAGGTAGAAGCTATCGTCGTCGCGTAATATTTCTACCTCTCTTTTTATGATATTAATGCTAATCCAGGGTAGTTTCTGTGGGTATCGGGCTGACCTCGGCACATGGGTGTCTTATTGAACTCATTTTGTATCTGTTGGCGGGTTTAGCTCAGTTGGGAGAGCGTCAGACTGAAGTCAAACTTCAATCAATTGATATCTGAAGGTCATGTGTTCGATCCACATAAACCGCAATGTGATCTTTTTGCAACTGGCCTCTTTTACTATTCCCTTTCTCTATTCTCCTCAAGATTGAGCGCTAACAGCTTTCATGCTACTCTTTTTCTGTTTTCTCTAGGTCAACGTTCCTCCTTCAAGTCACCAACTTGCCTTCCTTTGTATCGCCATTGCCAGATAGAGTCTGTAACATCCAGGCTCTGAAAGGACTGACTGCTTTGTACCAGAAGAGTGTAAAATATTTATGATACTAAATAACCCTGCAATACGCACTCAGGGTGTCGAAGTAAATACATGCATACAGTGTCGCCCTTAGCTCCTATCTCTCTGCTCATCCCCAACTACTCGGTCTCAATCCAATTATGAACCTTCGCAACATTTCATAGAAGTTCGAGGTTTTAGTGATTGGCGCGCAATTTCTTCCAAAGCTTATGCATGCGCTCGGCTTGTCCAGGGGTAAATCTCTTGGGACCGCATTCACTGCACCTCGTTAGCCATGTTTCCAACCTCAAGATATGAACAACTTACGGCTCCACATAGTCCATGAAGTTATCCGTAGGATCAAAACCAGGCTTATCATGGCAGCTGTTGAGATCAGGTGGAGGGCACACTCCATACTCTGGAGGCGATGCCTCATAAGGAGTATCATCAACATAGTCACCTGGTTCCTCGCAACCATTCTCAAAGGTATGCTCCAGACCAAGCCAGTGCCCAACCTCATGAACGGTCACGTAGTTGAATTTGGGAGGGACCTCGCCAGGGTTATCGGGCCTCATGATGCAGCCGTCGAAGAGGATGTCGTTCTTGGTGGGGTTGGGAACAGGGAGCTCGCACTTTCCACCGGGCGGCATACTTGCAATGAAGAACAGATTGAGATCTTTGTAGGTTCCTTGTCTCAAGGCTGCTCGGAGCTCCTCTTCGAATTCACCGACTGGACTGATGGGATAGGCCCAGTCAGGATTCACGGTTCTGCTGGTGTTCATCAACTTGAACGAGAAATTCCAGGGCTTAAACTTCTCGTTGAGAAGGTTCATCTGTTGTTTGACTGTAGCTTGCTGGGCAGAGTCAGTCCAGTGGTCGTAAAGTTGTATTTGAGACTTACGCTGAGGTAGTTGTCTTCTTCCTTCTTGCTTGCTGCAAGGATGTGGACGTAGGTCTTGACCTCTACATTCTTGTGTTGTCCACGGATTTCAAGATGCTCATTTGCAAGATCCCTCGAAATAGCTTTCAAGCCATTGCTGGATCCCGAGGTACCGCAGTCAAAGCCAGCGGCTGACACAGAATTGGCCAAGAGGCCGAGAGCAAGAGCAGATTGAAGATGCATACTGAGTAATGAGAAGTAGACAACGAAGCGAATAGCCCAACAGGAGGCAGAAAACGTATCAAGGCTTACTCTATTATAAATATATGAGATTTTCGTATTGCCAGCTTGCAATTTGGACCTTCGAATCCTTTTCAATCCTTCTTACACTGCGCCACGTTGGCCAATTGTAGTGGGATTCTTGGCAGTACCCCTCACGGGGTCGAAACACGAGGTCGGACCATGCTAGCGTTACCTTAAGAACGATTGAATAGGAAATAAGAATCTTGCTCCAGGGGTTTTTGGAGATGCAAGCAGGCTGACACTTTTCCCATTGGCTGGTTGAAGGCGGGAGGATCGCGGGGTTACGTGGACTTTCGCTGTTCTGGGCAGAGAATCAGGCAAAGAGACACAGTTGTAGGATTGGAATCGTAATACACGGAATCAAACAGGCCGACTGTTCTATGCGTTGAAGAGTACAATGTTCTGATCTGTTTACGACGTACAGTTTCTGCATTTTCTGCCTGCTGCCGGCGACCATCATGATCACTGGCTTCCATGATGAAGCGGGGAACAGTGAATTGCAGCATACCAACTGCAAAGCATGGCTATTCTGGCGCAGCCTGTTGCAATAGCATCCCTATTGATTGCGAGTGAGAAGGTGCTGCTGAGATGTCAGCAGAGTATCCCTTTAGGCTAATGTCTTGAGAAGGCTATTTACCAGGATCTTAAGCATCTGAGCTAAAGGAGACTTACGACGCTCACTCGATGGGGCCCGAAGAGACACGGGTATCCTACAAATATATGTGATATTGACTGATACATGTCGATCAACAATGCTTTCTGATCTAAAGAGGTGAGTTTAGGGTTGAATGTTGAAACTCTAAAGACGTAAACGAGGTTGTGACTTCTCAGGATGAGACTTTTCGGCAAGCAGAAAATACAATGTAGCAACCTGTTACCTTGTTATCTTATTGGTCATCGTGAAAGCTTCCATGTAAAAGCTTATATTGGGCAAATTAAACATCGTGTTCTCGTTCATCACCTGTGCTCGCAGCCTAAAGCTTAACCTTATAGGCGGCAGTCAACCCCATAGTTCCCTTTTTGTCAATGGCAAGGTGTTCTGATATCCAGTAATGAGAGCGATGCATTGAAGGGCATAATGTCCATAAAAATTAGACGAATTGTGCGTAATATTCTGTTACAAAACGTCGGATCAAAGAGGCCGGAGATGGTTCTGAATCTTGGTTCTTGGAGTCAAACTGCTATGAGAATCTGCAGGTCATGAGATTAACGTATGCTTGATCAAGATCACAAGCTTCACAACGCCAGGTCGTTGTCTGGCTCTACGGGCTTATGGCAAGCTAAGTGGTACTGGAATATCTGCTTTTGCGTTCAGGCTTGGAGGTAATTTGATCATACGACCGTATAGATGGAGTGGGTAGCTAATGTAGGTTGGAGGTTAAAGATTTGAGTTTACGTGTATCATCAGATATACCAATAAAAGATTGTATGAGTAATACATAACTTTTCGCCTCCAGGTCTTTTCAAGTGATAAATGATTTAGCCTTTCGTGAGTGACATAAAAGTGAGCCGCATCTCCCATGTTCTGTGCCATGATTTTCAGTCCTATTGATAATCCTCACAGGCACTCAGCACATATCATCACGTGCTCGAGCAACCATCACATTCCCATCATGAAGCCTTCCGACATACCACCCGCAAACGAAGGTTTGTCAACATTTACATGCTTTCCACATCTTCCTCCCGAGATCCGCGAAATGATATGGAAGTGCCTGATCCCAGTGCAACGCCACCTGAGGATAGAAGGCCGCTACGGAGAGCCAACCAAGATTGGGTCTTTCTCAATCTCTGAGGGATTCTACCTCTCTCAAGTCTGCTTTGAGAGTCAAAAAGTCCTTCATCGTGTTATCGCATATGAGACTGCGAAAAAGGGCGACGATGCTTCTAATGATGAACCTTTCGGCACAGTTCTCCTGACAACACTGGATGACCCGTCACTGGAGATCTTGTCTTCCCTAACAGCCGATATCGATTGTATTGCTGTACGATGGCCCGTCGGTACAGGACAAGTGGAAGAGCTTCATGCAGCTCTACACAAGAGGGTAGCTGCTGGTGGTCAACAGATAAAAGCCATCTACACTGGGATATCATCGGAACTTCGAGGCGAGTTACGACACCGGAGGAATCACTACATGACACCACTCGCTGATTTCGAAGTCATGACCAAAGACGATGCTGAAATATACCGGAACTCCAGGGACTTCTTATTTTTTACACAATCGAGGCTCGAATACTACATCTACGAATCTCGGGATTTTGAGAGGGCTTCAAAAGAGCTACGCTCGACCTGGGAGAGACTTCCTTCCAAGGACGGAATCGCAGAACCGGTGATAAAGCCAGGCTTTATCTTGACTCGCGCAGCCAGAATCCATTGAGTCAACTGGCAAACTATTGGGGCTGTTCCATTTCCCACCAGCCCGTTGAGCGATTAGGCAAGCACCATGTTATTACAACCTTAGTTCTTGAAGAGAATGTGTAAAGACTGGAACAGATCTAGATCTTAGATCAAGCCATTTACGGTCAAGTCTCACTGTACCCGGCCACATTCCAGGAATCGCCCCCAGCACGGAATTCCGGGAACCCACTACATCACTCTAAAATCACCAGGAAGAAACTTCCAAATCCAGCGCTGAGCCGAAAATTAAGGGCCCGCTATTTGCCTCCGCCACCGCCTTGTTTCGAGACCGTTAGTGCTTATATACAATGGATACCAGAAATGAAGCATAACGATCTCTATTCCTTCAAATAAGTCTCAAACAGACCAAAATCCTAAGACAGTAAATGCAAATCACTCAGCCACAGAGGCTCGGCCCGCTAGAAATGAAGAGGACCTAAGCTCAGACACTTGCAATGCTGTCTGGTATGTTGAGAAAGCTAAGTCTACAGGGGACCCCTGGAATGCTCAGCCTTGATATCCACCACTAGACCAGGTCCGACATAAGACATTCCTCTCAGTACGGTCTAGACGGGAATCCTACGATCCTTCCAAATCATGGGTTTGGTATATAATACGCGTGCCAAGTCGCGATGGACTCAGGCCAAGATATTCCCTAGCTTCTCGCCATGCATATCGCTTCCTACGTCTCCGTCGCATTCACAGTGCTTGGCCTCGCGGCTGCGTCGCCTAAGGGATGCACTACCAAACGATCCCCTGAGCCAGAGTTGGAGAACGGTCATTACATCGTCGACCGCGCGACAAAGTTCGCCAACAAGAAGGTTTGGACCTTCAATGGAAAGAGTCTTCCTGAGGGCCTTTACTCGAGCGATTATCAAGTGGGAAATACCCATGTTTTCACACCATCTGGAGTCAAAGTCCGCAATGGGTACCTTGAGTTGACGGTCCCTGGCGGCCAGAAGTCCAAGCCCTACAAGGCTGCTGAGGTTGCGACTGAGATTGAGAACATCAAGTACGCTTCTGTCCGCACGACAGCTATTCTTAGCGAACCTGCAGGTGTTTGCAACGGTACTTATAATGGATCATCTCAGTTATCGATATACTAATGTTTTCAGGAATGTTCTTCTACCAATCCGACAGCCAAGAGACTGACATCGAGTGGCTCTCCGACCCCAAGTCCGAGTCCAACTACGACGGTATTCGTCGACTATGGTTCACCAACCAGGACAACAACGGCGACGGCGAGCCAACTCACAAGGATGTGCTTCCTCCTGCAAACCCTACCACCACTGAGCACGAGTACAGAATTGACTGGACCAAGGGTCTTGTTCAGTTTTATGTTGATGGTGTGAAGCAGTGGTCTACCAAGAAGGATGTTCCCAACGTGCCTGGACCTTGGATCTGGAATAACTGGTCCAATGGTGATAAGGGCTGGAGTGCTGGACCTCCTAAGCAGAATGCTGTGTTCAAGATTAAGAAGATTGAGATGTACTACAACACTGCTTAGGTGTTTGGATATTTGATGGAATGGCGAATGGCTTTTGATCTTAAAGAATATTTGCATTTGGGATGATGGCATTGAATTGGAGAAAATAACACAATAGAGTCATGATATAATGCTGCATGGAGAGGACCCATCGTCCCTTCACCTATTGTCCTTTTCCTTCAAAGTGAACCTCGATTATTGGCAGGCTCGCCACTTTAATGAGTTTGTATCGGAAGTTAGATCTGGAGAGGCATAACGTCTCGATATTTGATGCATATTAGTCCTCAGCCGTGTATGAGTCGAACTCAGCCGATCGCTGAAGGGTTGATAGCTGAAGCACCCAATGGCGATACATTTACATATATTCTGAATATCTCAAATATCCACGGCCAGTCAAGGTCGGAAGATCTATTATTCGTTCTTGAAACACAGAACAAAAGAATTTCTAGTCAGGTGAACAGCGTGTGACGCATCACTTATCACGATAACCAAAAGTACACCGCTTCAATATCAGCTTTTCAGTGAAATAGCATAAACTTTATAAGTCATTCAAGTATCTTTTATCTCAAAATCCACGTATCAAAGCAAGACACTATTCCGCCGCCGGGCTACTCTCCTTGGGCCTCTCAGGCTTCTGCCCATAAACACTAAACCTACACTTCATTAGCATCCCAAGCCACTTAACAATCGGCATCAAACTTACACATGACCATAAGCCTGCGTCTTAGGATTCATAAGGACCTTTCTCATCTCCGCCGCGAACAGCTGCATCTCCGCCGGCGACCACTTGAGAATCTCACAGAGCGGTAACTTGACGAAACCATCGAGAGCTTGACTAAACGAGAGTCCAACAAAAGTTCCGAGTTCTTTCTTCTTTTTGTCCCTTGGCCAGCGTCCAACGGGAATTTTGTGCGTTTGAGGAGTCACGGATACGAAACCTGCGTCTTTGGCGAGGGTTGCGAGTTTGCCGTTGGAGAAGTCGAATGTGCAGCCGATTGTTTCGCCGACTTGGGTGAAGATCTTTGCCCAGCGTGTGAAAATACTAATGCTTGTTAGGTCTGGTGAAAAGATGAGAAGGGATAGGATGCGTACTGCTCGTCGTCGACTTTGATCTCTGGGTTTTGGGAAAGCATTTGCAGATCAGGCTCTATGTGCTGGAACCAGCCACCTGGCTTAAGAGCCTTGTACATCTGACCATACAATCTATCCCAATCGCCAATGGTGCCCTGAAGATATCGAATATGGATGAAATCAAAGGACTCGGGTTCAAAGGTCCATTCGAGTTGAGCGTCATCGATCTGAAACTCAACGTTCGGAGGCACGAAGCTTGGCTGGGTTGGAGTGATGTCTGTAGCAATGACGCTGGCCGATGGGTATTCGTCTGCTACGTTTATAGCCCAGATGCCAGTTCCTGTACCGATATCGAGGATTTTCTACGCGTGTGAGGATGGGGAATCTATGGTGATGAAGAGACGTACCTGCGGGTTGTCGCCGATGGGAGGAAGGAAGAGTTTGTCATCAAGCATCAATGTCAACCAATGATGGCTACGATAGTTAGCCACATGTATACCCAAGACTCTTTGCAAAGAACTTACATGAGATCGAGTGCTTCGAGTTGCTCCTCATCATTGGGGGCCCTGTTCATTAGCGATGCTCACTCTCATCACGAAACGTCTTACCAATGCTTTCCATATTTGGGATTAGCATAAGTTCTTCCCTGAAAGTACTTATTCTCGAAAATGCTCGACGTAATCGAGGCTGTCGAGTCGGTTTCACTACCTCGTCAGCTCAATCCCGACAAACATGTCCATCAACATACCTATCAGCGCTGAAGTTACTCTCCGTGTCGTTGCCAACATCCAACGCGGGTTCCTGCCAAGCTTAGCACTGGTTGATCAAATCACAGCAGGTAAATAACATACTGCTTCAAATGGAGCTGCCATCGCTTCGTTATGGTTTATTTCTCAGTTACAAAGAGACGAAATAAACTCAGGCGTGCGGGGTCGGTGGTGTCTTTATGTCTTTGTTGGGGGTTACATGACATGTCAAATTGCTCCTGTGCCGCGTGCGCTGAAATGCAAGAACGGAAGACGCTATCCAGTGATGGGAAAGTGACAGGTGGGTCTAGTCGCATTGTAGATGGGGGTCCATGGGGTTGTTTGTTCTGTTTTGTTTGTTGGAAGGGGTATTATGCAAGCAATCATGAATTGACGAGTACTACCTACACTTGTAACACCTGTAGTCTTGTTCTGGAACATCTCGAGACATTCATGCATCTCAAATGACGATAAAGAAGTGTTTCATCAAGAAACTGTCATCTCTTGTCTCTTCTCTAGCTTGCGGGGCCAACTACGCTAATGCGACCATGCCTTGAAGAGACCCTTGTTCCGGGCGTCTTCACAACAAGCTTTCCCAACTGTGGCATGCTTGGTTACTGGTCATGAGAAATCTTTAACCTTTTGAGGCTGGGAGGGCCGTTGTAACGTGTTCACTCGGTGGCCACTCATGCTGTCGTGATGCGATTGGAGGCGCTTGACATGACACCAGCTGCATGTACGCCATGAAACATTGGAGATGGTTGCAGATGTACGAAAATGCGACTGTATACATTATACGTCATTAGTAATTGTCCCCTTTCATTTGTATTACAGTCTACAGAGGCAATCAGCCCCTAAAAACGCACGAAATCGCTCCAATAATTCCAATCCAACAGATCATCGCCGACATTAAAATCCCAGGCATCCAGTGCACTACCGGCCATCTCAGCATCACCCTGCCCAACACGTCTCTTACTCCAAAGCAACTCAATGCAAGCCGGCGCATTCTCACCATCGGTTAATGCCTTCCGCCTCGCCTCCCAGGCTTCCAACGTCAAGTTGCCAAAAGCAGTGTACAAAGAATTGTCAACACTGTCCACAAGTTCAGGATGATCAGTGTATAAACTATCAACCAGTTTCCAAGCTAGATTAATTCTTGGGCCTGAAGGTCGTCGGCGTAGTTCACTTATGACGTAGATCCAGGCATCGATTTGGTAGAGTGATGTTAGATGAGTAAACATCTGAGATGAGAATTTACTCTCAAACCCCACGTTGACGAGTTCCAAAAATGACAGCGCTGCGTTGAAGAGAATATCGCTATCCTCTTTCGTCATGTAAACATCCGCGTCACCGGGTGCTGCTCTAGCCCTCGGGTGATGTAACCTAAAGCGCATTCTCGCAATAGCTAGTTTGGCCATGGCATACGTCAGGTCATGAAACGGGACAGCTCTATCGAGCTTTACAAGATATTTCTCTGTGTAGATAGCTTCAAGCTCGTTGATCGCTTCGTCTTCGGCTTTAGTCGACCCCCAGGGTCTTCCGAAACCGGGCGCTATGCAGTCAAACACTTTTGCTGCTTTGGGCGATGAGCGGAGCCACTGTGTTACTTCAAACTTCATCAGAACACAGACCATTTCTGTGGGGCCGGTGTGCTGGACTGGAGGCTCGAGCATGTCTGGATGAAGGTCTGCGTCGTTGATGTTGAAGGGGAGACGAACATCGCCGAATTCTGATCTTGCCAGTTTGATTCCTGGGGTAGAACTAGCACGTACTCGAGAGTCGAGACCTTTTATCTGCCACCAGAGTCTGATGCGCATTTCTTTCTCGAAAAAGGTTAGTTTCGCGTCGGTATCTGATTTGTGTAGACCCATCATCTGTCCAGCTCTTATAGCAACGGCCGTCATGGTACTAGCTAGGTCGGTTTCTGGATTCGAAAAGGTGAAAAGTACCATGGCCTGAAGAGTTTCAAGGTCCTTTGTAGTCATGAAATCAGCTGCTGCAAGTGCCCGTACCGTGGCGGTGCGATAGCGCGTGAGCAATGCCCCTCTGTCCTCCCCCAATGACGATTCACAAGCTTCTGATGACAGTGAGGTGACTGAAAGAAGGTATATGGAGAACATTAGTGCGGAGAGGGGCTTTGGTATGTTTGGTAGATCCCAGCTTGCTTCTAGAATGCGCTTCTGTAGACTTGGGACGTGAACGATCTTGATAAGAGGATTGACGCATTCGACAAAGGTCTGCCAGAAGAAGAAGATTTGTTTTGGTTCTGGGTGATTCTCGTAGGCTTTTGATTCAGGGTCGAAAATTATGGAATGGAATGAAGGTGAGGAATGGAGGAACGGATCGTCTTTGTTGCGCAGTGTAAGCGTAGGAGGATACTTGAGCTGTAGCCATGTCAGTCGCAGCGACGTATTATCATTGACATGACTTACCTCATGGCTCAATTTTGACCAGAGGCATCTACATACGTTAGAATCAGTGCATTCTATTAACGGACAGGGTGACTTACAACTCCGTCGCAGCATTCGACACCGTCGTATCATCCTCCTTCTTCGTCTCCAAACCCGATGACACCCAAACATTAGCATGCTGACTATAATCCACACCACTCTTCTGCATCAACTGTTCATACTGCGCCAATCTCGCGAGTAAATCCTCATCAGCAGCTCTTTTTCGAGGTTTTGGTGGAGGAGGCGCTTCGTAGGTACATTCTGCTCTACCTTTCTGACAATTTGAGCAGGGATGTTGGCGATCACACTTTACTTTGCGTCGGGCGCACATTGAACATGCATATTTTCGTAGTTCGGCCATGGTATTGATGATGATGGGGAGTTAAAGGGTGTAAAAGGGAGAGCGTCGCTGGTTTCGGTGACTTCGGGGGCGCGGAGGACTCGGGGATGTCGGGGCTGAGAGGGGTTTAGCGTCGGTGATTGAGAAGTCCGAGGGTTAGTTCGTTTGTTCTGTCTGACGATGGAATGCACTGCACAGCGTGTGAAGATGACGATTCATAGCGTAAATACGGCCTTTTCTACTCTTGAAAGCGTTTGCGTTACTGGCAAACCTCAATGGACCGTGAGCGTAGGGTTGGACGTAACGCAGGGATCTTTCCCATCGAATCACATGCAGAGCGATGCACCATGATCAATTGCGTATTCCTTCCTTCTCAGCCTTGACCGCGCTAGCTCCCCTAACGAAGCAAGATAG